CTCTCTTGTCTCGCTCTCTGCGTCTCTCTCTTTATGGTCTCTCTCTGATCTCTCTAGTCTATCTCTCTTGTCTTTCTCTGGTCTTACTCTCTCTCGTCTCTCTCTCTCTTCTCTCTCTCTGGTCTCTCTCTTGTCTCTCTCTCTGGTCACTCTCTTGTCTCGCTCTCTGGTCTCTCTGTTTATGGTCTCTCTCTGATCTCTCTAGTCTATCCTCTCTTGTCTCTCTCTGGTGCTTACTCTTTCTCGTCCTCTCCTCTCTCTCTTCTCTCTCTCTGGTCTCTCTCTTGTCTCTCTCTCTGGTCTCCCTCTGGTCTCTCTCTTGTCTCTCTCTGGTCTTACTCTTTCTCGTCTCTCTCTCTCTCTTCTCTCTCTCTGGTCTCTCTCTTGTCTCTCTCTTGTCTCTCTCTCTGGTCTCTCTTTTTTCTCCCTCTGGTCTCTCTCTTGTCTCTCTCTCTGGTCTCCCTCTCGATTCTCTCTTTCTTCTCTCCCTCTAGTCTCTCTCTTGTCTCTCTCTCTGGTCACTCTCTTGTCTCGCTCTCTTGTCTCTCTCTCTTTTGTCTCTCTCTCTGGTCTCCCTCTGGTCTCTCTCTTGTCCCTCTCTCTGGTCTCTCTGGACTTGGTTTGGTTATAATCAGTCACTCTCTCCTTGTATTGGTTAAATGTTTACATTGTGTTCTTTATTGATTTGGAACCTGGGGCTTCTGCTGCTCTCTGTGACAAGGACAATACATTTCATCTTAAAAATGCGGTTGAATTCTGCTCTGCACTCTGTCGATGTTGCTACAAAAAGTTTAGAATGTGGAGTAAGACCAGAGCATCATTATAAAAGAAACAGGAAACAAATCATCAAAAGTGCTAAAAAAACAAAATCTAAAAAAACAAAAACAATAATATGAAAAAATAGATCTGTCTTGTCACCCTCACAACAGCTTTAATAATACTAATAATTATATGTGTTATTTATTTGATTCCTTTCTGAGTGCACAAGGTAAAAAGTACATTCAAAGACAAAATTCAGAGTTAAAAAAAAGAAACGATTTTTCAAACAAAAAAGTGCCAATCAGAGCGCACTAACAACTCTTTCCTTTGGACGAACACAGATCTTCATTAAACTAAAAGAGTGAGGTGAAGAACCTTTAACTGGTCTGGTTATAGGGAGGGGCCTCTGTGTGTGTGTTTTAGTTGTTGTTACAAATAAAAATAAAACTGATTGGGAAAATAAAATTTTTGTAAGATCTCCGAGCTTGCGTCTGTCCAAAAGTGCGTCATTGTCTGTGATTGGTTCCCAAATAAATGCAAGCTTTTCGGCCCAAGTTTCCAGTGTGTTAGAAATGATTGCAGTGTAATCCCAGTCTATTTTATTACAACTCAAAGAACTTTGGTTGCATATTGTGATTCTGTTGTTTTGTTGATAATTAACTGTAACTTTGTTTTCTATGCTTGACCGAATAAACTACTACTACTCTTACTTGTCTTGAGTCCTTTGGCAACTCCAGACCTGGGTCATTTCATAGTGAGAATGATGGTTGAATGCTGCAGTTGTGAGAGATAATCAATGAGTAGCCAACAGAAGCAAGAGAGAGGCGAGAGAGAGAGAGTGATCAGGGAGACCAGAAAGAGAGAGAATAGAGAGTGACCAGAGAAAGAGACCAGATAAGGAGACAGAAGCATGGTACGTCTTCTTTAACCTCACAATTTGAGCTGTTTTCATGCCTCACACAATGTTTTTACAATGGTTGAATGTTATGTTGGCTGATTTCCGTGAAAGTCTCCTGACCACAGCTGTGCTCATCTGCTTGTGCGTGTGTGCGTGTGCGTGTGCGTGTGCGTGTGCGTGTGTGTGTGTGTGTGTGTGTGTGTGCGTGCGTGTGTGTGTGCGTGCGTGCGTGCGTGCGTGCGTGCGTGCGTGCGTGCGTGCGTGTGTGTGTGTGTGTCTGCCACATTGGCCTTGACTTATTTTGATGGAAAAACTGTGGTTTCCTCTCGATCATCAGGAACCATCTGTGGCGATAACAGATTTAGCGCTGGTCGAAGTTTACCGCGCGACGGCCTCAGAGTCAGAGGGAGAGCACAAAAAGAGCACTGTTCTGTTTGGGTTTGGACCGGGTTAACCATGTCTGCACAGGATCGGCGTGAAATCGAAACGCGCCAGTGTTCTGGGAGGTAGTGTCGGGTCACGCTGGGCTGATATGAGGAGCTCAGGACAGACCGCACCCATAATGCATTGTTCAGGCTTTAGGACGGAGTGGGCAATTATTGTTTACAGGGGGCCGCATGAGAAAGAGAATATATGGTGGAGGGCTGGGTAAAATATTTGAACACATATTTAAAGGTGCCTTTAATTATGATTTGTCTCTGTTTGAATGAACCTGATCATCTGCGACACTTCACTAGAACTACAGTTACCATGAACTGGACTTAAAATCTGATCTGGACTCCGGTGTTACTCTCGCCGTATACATCTGTAACTAATTAATTAGGGTCTTATTTTGGACATCGAGGACATAGGGTTTGATGTGTCGGACTGCCATTGTTAAAAGCTGATTCTCAGGTCTGAAATGACTATGTACTATGTACTATGAGATAAACAAATCACAGTGTGAGGCTACGTCACCGTGTGGGCGGTGGGAGGCGGGGGGAGGCGGGCTCACAGAGAGAGGAGCAGACTCCTCTCTGGGTCAGCGTGTTTGAGTCGAGGTGACGTCACGTCAATGCAAGACATGGCTATAAGTATAATAAGTGTTGTATGGTGTAAACTCAAACTATTATCACACATATGCATAGGATGGACTGAAAACATGAAGAAGAGCGCAATATGGAACCTTTAAATAATATTAGTTGTTTACAATATATAGTTGTATATATATAAAAAAAAGATTCTCATCTTTCTCCCACGGAGGGCAAGAGGTGAGAATTCCTCTCCAAGCTCGGGTCCTCTCCCAGAGGCCTGGGAGCTTGAGGGTTCTGCGCAGTATCTTTGCTGTTCCTAGCACTGCACATTTCTGGACCGAGATTTCCAAGTTTGTTCCAGGGATCCGCTGTAACCACTCCTTCAGCTTTGGGGTCACTGCCCCGAGTGCACCGAGGACCCTCTTGTTTGAGTACCCTCTTGGACTGGATAGAACCAGGACCAAGAGGCACTAAAGAAGGACCTGGTACTTCTTAAACATGACCAGTGGAAACTGGTCCTAATCAGGAGAGAGCAGAGCAGAGCAGAGCTGGTGGAAATGGGTCTTAAATGTTGGGAGAAGTGTTATTGTGGAAGGTTGGGCTCTGAAACAATAATGCTGACATTAAGAGAGCCAATGACCTTTTGGGAGAAATGTCATCCTTGTTTTAGAGTAAATGAGCAAGACACATGCACAGACTGAACGGAGCAACCACCAACATACGTAAATACTCTCTCTCTCTCTCTGTCTCCTGCTCGCACCTGCTGAAACACTAGAATACAAACCTAAAACATTAGAGTGTGCCATGTTAGATTTAGATTTAGTTTTAAGTTTCATGTTTTCAGTGGTAGGGGAAACCAGAGCACCCGGAGGAAACCTGAGCAGACACTCCACTCAGAAAGGCCCTCTTTGCGATTTGAACCCGGAACCTTCTTGCTGAGAATCTAGATCTCCGCTGCTCAGAGGCTACAGAAACATGTGTCCCACTGTAGGAGACTGAGTGATGGAGGATAGACAGAGAGAGAGGAGAGAAAGTACAGGGGTGGATGGGAGAAGAGGGAAAGGAGAGAGAAGAGAGGAGAGAGAGAGGAGAGAGGATAGGGGAGAGAAGAGAGAAGAGAGGGAGAGGAGAGAGAACAGAGTGAAGACGGGAGAGGAGAGAGAAGAGAGTGAGGACGCGTGACCACCTTCTCACAACTCCAGGTCTTTAATCGGTGACAGGTGAAAATCCTCTTCAAATCTTGTGTTTTTAAAACAGAACATTTTGTAATGAGAAACAGAGTTATTTTGAAATCAGACGCAATCCTTATATGACTCATATCTGAGTTTACAATGTCACAAAAAAAAAACCACCAGGATCAAAGAGAGCACAAAACCCTAGATTTTTAAGCCCAAAACAATTACCGATCGAGAGGGGTTTACTTTTACATGGAAGTCAAAAGGAGCCAGAAAGAGTCCAAACTTTGTCTAATACGTTCCATCTGTACTTAGGTTTAGAGATGTAGAAACTAGAGACAGATTTGAGTAGAGAAACTATAGCAGAAAGAGAGAGGTTGAAACGTGTTGCTTTGTCCCTTCCACAATGAAGGATTTTAAAGTTAAAGGTATAAAGGAGGATTTTCCCAAATGTTAGGAAGGAACCTACTTTCCACTTTTTGTACAAAACTCTCTGGTCTTTTATGAAGAGTACTATCACCAGAATGATTAACAACTGGGAGGAGCCAATAGTCTTAATGATCCACCCAGAGGTAGAAAATCCTTCTTCACACCTTTAAGTCAACGTGCCTCAGACCTTTTTCTCTTTGCTCTCTACAGATAGAT